GTTGTCTAAACCTAAATAAGTAGTTTAGTTGTCTCAACCTAACTAAGTAGTTTTGTTGTCTAAACCTAACTAAGTAGTTTTGTTGTAGTTGTGTTGTCTAAACCTAATTAAGTAGTTTTGTTGTCTAAACCTAACTAAGTAGTTTCCTGTGAAGACAGAAGTTTATTTTGAAAAGACTGTTTTTATGCAGAAATTGAAACGTGTTGCTGGACTTTATCAGGAAAACGCACAAAAAATGAAGAGTAACTTTTCATGAGATATCATACGAACCGTTATTTGAGGAGACGTTGATCGTGTTGACATTATCCTTGACGTTGGAGGCTAATATAATTCTGAATGTAAACAACATCACCGTTCTTTTAAATGGGCTATTGATGCTACTGTATAACAAGATCAATATGAAGATCTTAAATGATATGACCTCCTCCCGATGGTCTTGCTGTGGAGAGATGTTTTACAGACTGAACCATTTTTTTCTTTACATCAGTGACATACAGGTGAAGCTGCAGTAGCAGTCTCACCATCTGTCCCTTAATTCTGCTGCTGACACTTTTAAAATCATGGACTTTCTTTTGTGGATTATTGAAAGCAGAATTTAAACATAGCACATGTGGCGCTGGATGCGTAGCCTTATATGGTATGTTATTATTGAGGCTCATCAACAAGTCGGCAAATCTGACAGATCTCATTCGAGCCGACCGTACGAACGGAAGTTAAGATAAGGATACGGGAATGAGGTCCGTTATCTGTTCAAATGTGATAACAGAGTCATCGTGTTTGATCAGCTGTTCTCATGAAAAGTGACTCTAATAGTTGTTTAGTGTTTAGAGGGAGAAGCTCAACCTGTTTACTTTCTCTCCTCCACACGGTCGACCAATCACAGCGCTGAGTGGGAATGGTTGTCGGAAAGTTACACATATTATTTCTGACGTGGGAGAAGGAGGGTCGACCAATCCGATACGCTCTCCTGTTGGATTTAAACTGGCAGCTGGAATATATCAGAATCATAATATCAACTAAAGTAATGAAAGCTCTTAAACTAGATTTAGTGGCCAAGATCAGGCAGAAATGCAGAACCCACCTCATTGGATATTGAGGCCTTAGTGGTTCACATTCATATCATTTAATTTGCAATTACTGAAATGAGCAGAAACCAGAAGACATGCATGGTGACATACCCGCTGGATACATTCAGAGAACCAGCATCTGCACTGTTTTCTCTCCTGACTGCACATTGAATATGATTTTTACAGCTCTTCACCATAGCAACGGCAGCTGAGGCTCATGGGTACTGTAGTATTTGAAACCAGAAACACACACGTTCATATAATCGGTAAACTGCTGACTCAGCGTTGTGTACTCACCGTGCGGGTCGCTCAGGTTCTTCCTCCGAAGCTCTTTTTCAGCTGGATTTGGCTGAGTGGTGTTTGTGAGGACGTGCAGGAGGAACAGAATAAGTCGGCCCAGCGAGCATCACATCACTTTATAACCTCCCCGAGAAGGTCGCCTCAGCATGTGACCTGCTGCGCCGCGGCCGATTGGTCCGGCCGGTCCCCTCCGCCGGTCATAAAAGGCCTGCTGTGGTCAGCGTGGAATACCAGAGTGAAGCAGGCTGCAGACGTAAAGCCACCACTGGCTCCCTCTCTGTCTGAGGGCTATCTATGGAACCTGACTGCCTCACTGTCCTCATCTGTCTTTGTTTCTCTGGACTCGTCCATTCAGACTGTCCATGGACATCAAACCTCCATCTCTCTCTTCATCTTCCATTTTAATCATATCACAGTTTTTGCCATCATTTCTTTCTCATGTGATAACCTCAGATAAGCCCCGCCCCTCTTAGCTACTGTTTCTTTGCCTGTCGATCTTTCTGTTCCCACATGACACGTGCACAGTTTACGATGAGGACAGCGCTGGATTTAGCGCCCATCATCAGTGCTGAAGTCCTTGTATTCAGAAAGAATAAGAGAAAAGCAGCTTCCCATATTCAGCCACGTCTGACACGTAGAAACATCAGTTCATCAGCTGTAGATAGCTAGACTTGTTCTCCACGTCTGCCTTGGAGCCTGTCAAAGGCTCTTTAAAGATGGCTGCACAGATGCTAACATGTTAACTCAGCTCTGTAATATTGGCAGATAATATTCAGCAGAACTAAAGAATCCTCTTTGTTCTTGTTCTGCAGGTTCTAGACGCTAGGTAGTTAGCATTAATGTGGAAATATCTGAACAACAAACGGTTTATTGACATTGATCGACGGTTGAAGATATTTTGTGAGTGTGCTTTGTGGATATCATAGAGAAAGTAAAAGATATGAGCACGTATTGCAAACAGTCAACAAGCACAATAATAATAATGACGAGAAAGACAAAATCGAACTGCAATTTCTTTGTAATATAAGTACATTCAGAACAAAGTGTTACTATAGATTACATCATGTACTTGCTGATGTTTTGTTGGGTTCGTCTGTGTGTCAGCAGCATTATGGAGAAACTACCAACACGATTATCATGAAAGCTGGTGGAACGGAGGAGCACAGACCGATGAAGAACCCAGTGGATTCTGGTATGAATCTGAATCCTGCTTGTGATTGTTTTTCACTCTTGTTAACATTACAAGAAGTCTGCGCTCTTCTAGTTCTCCATGTTTCACTTTGACAAAAGAAAAGTCTTTAAAGGACGAGAACTGATGAGTCATCGTGTTCTCAGATCTCAGGCATCAACTGAAGGAGTTCCGTGTTGTTTGGTCAGAAGTATCCCAAAGAAGAAGCAGGTTGTAACACGGCAGAGACGTCCCTGAACCGAAATTTAGGCTTCATCTTAATCTCTGTGATCCCTCGTCAGTGGATGACAGTTATGAATGAGGCAATGACACACACACACACACACCTTTCATTCACTGATCGTGTGACACACACACACACACACACAGTGGGGCATCACCAGGATTTGGACGGCGGTGTGTTGTGATACGTCAGATAAAAGTGATAAATCATCTGTGGGATTAAACGAGAAGCTTTCAGCTTCAGCATGACGCTGTTGTTTCTCTTCAACCCTCTGATGGAAAAGCTCGTTTTCTTTAAACAATCGCCAAAACTACACCGTTCATCACAGACGGAAGCTGTAAAAACATAATTCATAATTGTCAGATTGCAATTATCCCGATGGTCCTTGAACATAACGTGTTCTGTAAAAAACAACCAAAACTAAGTTTAAAACATTTTATTCTTCATGTTCTCATGATAAATGTCTCCTCTAATAAAGCATTCACTTTAACCAGAGTGTGTAAAACATGTGAATAGTTTCATATTTATTGTTTCCAACATTGGTAAAACTTGTAGACACTATAAACATGTTGAATATTTAGATTATATTGTTTTCCAATTTTTGTAAAATCAATGATCAAAGAAATTCAACTTAGTATTCTTTCTTCTTTTTTATGATTAATATCCTCATAACTGTTGTTCTGCACTATTCTGTTTCATAGAGATGAAGGACTTCATGTTACAGAGACCATCAGGACCACAGAGAGGAGAACGCCTCTAAACTCTTTATTCTGTTGGTGACTCTCAGAGGAGACGACGTGTCCTCGGTCGTCTCCTCTGCAGCCTCTTCAAACTACACATCTCATTAAAGTGACGGCAGGTTTCACAGCAGTGCTGCTGATCGCTGCATGTCTGTCTCCACACACAGCAGGCGGACTTACAGAGACTCAGAGAGGGTTCACGTCCCTGCAGGACTCTGCTGTGGCTGCAAATCCTCCAGCAACTTTGAGGCACTTGTAATAATTGACTCTCTTTATGTCGGTGAGTTATTGGGCTGGCAGGGTCCCAGTGGAGGTTACTTCGGGACCTCGGGGGGCTTTTGGCATTCCTGCTGAAGCCGACGGACTGTTTGATTGGAATGTCGTTGCTCAGAAACAGATCTGGTCCAAGTTTAAGTACTGTAACCTTCTCACCAAACCACCGTCGGTCTGTGAGCGTTTTGGATTTCTCTAGAAGCGGTAATAACACGTATCACAAAGTGTCTGTTTCCTCCGTGTTGAGTTTCTTCTCTGGTCCCTCCATCCCTCCATCCCTCCATCCATCCATCCATCCCTCCATCCATCCATCCATCCATCCCTCCATCCCTCCATCCATCCATCCATCCATCCATCCCTCCATCC